GAGGCAATATATGAGGAGATAAGAAGGGAGAAGCACCAGACACATAAGAAGGAGGTTGTTGGTCTCCGGTCCTCGGTCCTCAGTCCATCGCGAGGTAATATGTGAGGAGATAAGAAGGGAGAAGCACCAGACACATAAGAGGGAGGCTGTTGGTCTCCGGTCCTCGGTCCTCACTCCGTCGCGAGGTAGTATATGAGGAGCGAAGAAGGTAGAAGCACCAGACACATAAGAGGGAGGCTGTTGGTCTCCGGCCCTCGCTCCTCAGTTCATCGCGAGGCAATATCTGACGAGATAAGAACGTAGAAACACCCGGCACATAATATGACGTCCTCAGATGTGAAATTTCAAAGAATTCCAAAAAAAAAATTAGCTAGCTTCGACGCGTAAAATGTTATATAATTATGTAGCTAGTTAAGGTGGAGTGGTTTCGTGGTCTCCGGCTGCGTCTGCGCACAAGTGCTCCTTTTGCCAGCGCGCTTTGTTGCAGTGGATGACGTTCTCGCCTGTTTTTCGCTTTTTTATGTATTTCAAGATAGGTAAGGGCGCGAAGGCGAGATTTTGTCTACTCCTAAAAGGGGGGATCTTTTGGTCCCCCAAAAGTCGGGCCTGGGGGGGGCCCCTCAAAAATCAGTTCGATTCTGAGGACGAAATCCGCAAAATCGAGGGACTCAGGTCGGCGCAGAAATCATTTTGAAGCCGAGAAATTCCCCCCCTTAGCGCGCCTGAGGGGGGGGGGGTTGAGGGGCCCCCCCCCGGGGCTTTCAATTCTGAGGACAGAAGCCGGCATATTCTAAGCATACCATGCGGAATAAAGTTCGGAACAAGCACAAAAATGCATTCTTACGATATCGCAAAGCCGCGAGCGCGCTTTTCTGTCCGAAGTCGCTACACATTTCGACCACACGCAGCCGGAGACCACGAAACCACCCTACCTGAGCTAGCTACTTCATGAAATAATTAATAAGTTACCTAAAGTAGCTAGGTTTTTTTTTCGATTTTTTTCAAATTTCACATCTGAGGACCTCATACATAAGAAGGAGGCTGCTGGCCCCCGGTCCTCGGTCCTCAGTTCCCCGCGAGATAATACGCGACGAGACAAGGAGGCAGAAGCACCAGACACATACGCAGGGCGGGGCTTGCTGCTCTCCGGTCCTCGGGCCTCAGTTCATCTCGAAGCTAGCAATATTTGGATGATGGGGCAAGAAGGTAGAGGCACCAGGCACATACCACCTTGCTGGGCGTTTCGCAGTGGGTGTGGATGGAAATAGGAGGGCAGGCATTTGCTTGTCGTTTCGCGGAAGATTCGCCGGATTTTGCCCCTAACGCTTTTGGGCCGAAAAATCCACTTTTTTTCTGAAATTTTTTAAAATTTCCGAGAAGGGTAGCGGGGTGGCTCTTGGGCCGGGGGCGGG